GGAGGCAATAACGCCTAAAGGAAGAGAGTGTTTTTTTCATTCAAAAGGCCTTCTATATCCCAACGTTTTTAGCCAGTAAATTTTCAACAAAGAAGCATTGCGTATAGGTCAAATGTTCAATGCACCCACCTTGACAAATTAAAACTGCCTGGGGATCGAAATTTAATGTTGTTTACATAAAGAACATAAACTATACTAAGAATTATTTAACGTTTAATAAGCGGCTTGTCGCACCCTCAAAGTTTTTCACAATTTCTTTTTGTGCATGGTCCAAAACAAATTCTACAACAAAAGCAATACATTGTCATTTTCAAGCAGCTTGTGATATTGAATATTTAAGTTTTTATCCTCTTATCTATTTTCAGTCTGAAAAAACGTTATGTAACAAACGAAACGCCGAAAAGAATATAATATTTCTGTACTACTGTGTGGTTACGCATGGGTTGATCAATTTTACTTAGTCATAACGGTGGGGAAGATCATGTGGTAACCATTTCGGCGAAAGATTACAATATCGAAAAAAACAAAAAAACAAACGAGAATTTACGGCAACTTGGCTTTTCCCTATCGACAGCTTCAGTCAAACCCCAATTAAACGGCCAGCCCCGGCCCTATTAAGCGGCCAGTTATCAAAGTCCCGATGGGGGTTTTACCACTATTAAGCGGCCAGCCCTCTTTAAGCGGCCACTATCCATTTCCCCTAGGGTGGCCATAATAGGGGTTGAACTGTATCTCCAAACAGGTCAGTTTTTTTCCACTATTCAGGTCTGACTTGCACTCTCAATAACATTTCCAGCTGAGTCATTTGAAATACAGTTCAATCCCTATTANAAGTTTTTCACAATTTCTTTTTGTGCATGGTCCAAAACAAATTCTACAACAAAAGCAATACATTGTCATTGTCAAGCAGCTTGTGACATTGAATATTTACGTTTTTATCCTCTTATCTATTTTCAGTCTGAAAAAACGTTATGTAACAAACGAAACGCCGAAAAGAATATGATATTTCTGTACTATTATGTGGTTACGCATGGGTTGATCAATTTTACTCAGTCATACCAGTGAGAAGGATCATGTGGTAACCATTTCGGCGAAAGATTACAATATCAAAAACAAAAAAACAAAAAAACAAAAAACAAAAAACAAACGAGAATTTACGGCAACTTGGCTTTCCCCTATCGACAGCTTCAGTCAAACCCCAATTAAACGGCCACCCCCGGCCGGCTATTAAGCGGCCAGTTATCAAAGTCCCGATGGGAGTTTTACCACTATTAAGCGGCCAGCCCTCTTTAAGCGGCCACTATCCATTTCCCCTAGGGTGGCCATAAT